TCTTATATCGACTATATACGACAGCATTTACATATGCATAAAAGCAATTAGTTTCATTGATTCAATGAAATGTTTATGAATATTACTACCTAGTATAGAGGTCATTTCAAAAGAGATTTATTAATTTAAAATGACATTCACATTTTAATAGATTGTCTATAAAAATCAGCCTATTGTAATTACAGAGAAAAAAGCTGTCCAGTTTGAGTTCTCTTAATTAAAAGTGTTGGTTTTAAGCCTTTCGTAATGCATAATCAATTATTTTAATTAATTTAGACAACACTGTCTGTATTTGTAATTAATCCGGTTTAAATTTAGGAATACGTTTTTCTATTTTTGGAATAATATTTTTTTTTTGTTCTTACTAATGAATGAAATGAATGAAGTCATAGAAAATTCATTAATGCATAAATGAACTTCTACTTGTCTTATTCTAATATTTAATTATAAATATTATACTATAATTTTAAGCATTTTATTTACGTAATATATAAATAATCTTATTAACCTACGAGTATATAATATTTATTACAGAAAAATATTTGTACCTCCTACATATAATAGATATGATAAAAATATTGTAAGCATTATATACAAGCAAATAATTGTTTGTTTGTTCTGGCAAACGCCTGCGGGGTTGAATGAAATTGGCAGTTAGCTATATGCCTATTACATATTGAATAATATTATGTGATTATTTTTCTGACACAAAATTTGTTAATGTAGGTTACACTAACAAATTGATAAAAATAGTAAACGAAAGATGGTAGTAAATTATTTTAAACGAATTTGAAACAATTACGATTAAAAGCCTCGAAATACCGAAATAGCATTCCGTTTAAGATATTTGCCACCCATCCACGATGAAACTAACAGTTTCTTGCGGAACATAAATCTTTCTTACTGTCATTGATATTTAGCTCGCAAGGGGAGTACAAAGGAGAGCCGTCAATAAATCATTTAGAAGTATTTCGTTTGCTTACACAAGTAGTATATCATGCCACAGATTGCTGAAGACAGGTTTAATTACTATGGCAATTACTCCAGATACTGATTACCCGGAAACTGGGGATACTGTTCTTAAAATAGGAAAGTCGATGTTGAATAATGTCAGTATAGCTGATTAAAACATAGGCTATTGTATTTAATGCTTGCTGTACCTTGAAATTTGGTGAAAAAGTATTTTATGTGCTAATCTACAATATGTACCAAAATGTATTCGTTCGTTTTGTGATAAACACATCCATCCATTCCCACAAAATTTCCTATTTATAATGTTAATTTAATATTTGCTTTTAAGTATAAAAAGATAAATCTCGATTAAAACAAGTATGTATGTGATTTGATATGTACTAGTATGTTCCTTCTAATATAATTTTAGTGTTGGTCAATAAGACTGTTATAATTTTTGATATTTATATATGTAGGTAAACTGTGCTCGCGGTTACAGCCACGTCAAGTTTATAGGCTATGTGTTATTCTGATGTACAAGCTATAAAATCCCTTCAATACTTTTTCCGTGAAAGAGTAACACAACCATTCATCCATTCACAGTTACCAAATTTTGCTTTTGTAGTATTACTAAAACTAACATTATAGGAAAAATACTCGGAGAACGGAGATTTATTGAAGAAATATCAAGAAAAAAACATAACAGAATACGAATCTAAGATTACATATAAATGTAGAATGTAAGTATATATCTGATTAGCTATTTAAAATAGATTCGTTTTATGCTATAGAAATTAATTCTAGATTAACGTAGCGTAATAAATTATTATAACAATGAATGCCATTATGTAAGATTCCGTAAGCATAATAGATATAGAGAGATTAAACTCTAATCCTCACCATCGAAGCATTTGACCTGTGAAAGGATACAATAGATGTAATAATAGAGTGGGTATTTTCCAACAAATTCCCTTTTACGATAATTGCCTGCTGGCTTTCAGCCTGAACTTTCTAAGAAAGGTACTAAAATGTAAGTCTAACAATAGAAGATAATGGTTTAACAATAGTAGAAATATTGAAATGTAATTGATTTATATAATCATTAAAATTTGATTGACAGTCGTCATAATATAGCTAGCTATTGTCATCCCACTTGGAACAAACCTCTCTTCCTATATATATAGTATATATAATATATGTATAGTAAAATGCTACTTCGAGTAATAACAGTAGACTAGACACAGCTTTTTGCTATGTTGACGTCTTGGTATAAACTTATTTCTTTATATATACAATATGTCATGACGAGGCGAAAACTGTTTTCTGTTATTATTTCACGTAAAAATGACTGGAGGAATTAAAATGAAATTTTTCACACAATATGTTGTTAAAAATTGATCAAACCCGCTTCAGCCGCAGTATTTTCGTTAGCTTTCTTTAGAATGTTACCGAAAATATAGGATATAAATAAAAAGGGTTGACTTAATTATTTTCGCCATATATTATTCTTTAAAAAAATTAATATATGTTGTTGTTTGACTATTACAGATGGTATCTAAAAACGTAGGTACACAGACGCAGCTTGTATGAATATTTTTGTATATTTACAGTCATATGAAACGGTCTATCAACATTATTGTAATAAGATCCCAAAACCTTATATGTTTTAATGGAATGAGGTCATTTAGCAAAGAAGAAAATGCGATTAAATTAAACCACAGTAGGAAGTCTGAAAGGGTCGGTCGACGGTCGCAATATCTTAGCTCGTTCGTATGGTTGAGTGACCGTCGTATTACCTCTTCAACAATCGTTAGCGTTGATTAATACTTATAATGAAGGTTGCAAAGAAATCATGATATAATATTGGATTTCCGTACTTTTATCCTACACTGTAGATACACTTAAAATTACATGGTAGCATAAACAATGAGTAATTTTTTAAATACTTTTAAATAAAACAAAATATATGTAATATAATATGAAATAAATAACATGCCTAATAAATGCTTAACAATTAATTATTAGGTAAATCCAACAGCTATTTCTAGTCCTATTCAAAGTTGGTTACTTATAGAGAAAATATATTTGTAGAATCGTCGAAAGCGAATTTAAGTTTGTCATAGATAAATTAATTTACACCCTGAATTGGAACAGTGTTGTGAAAATCTGACTTTTATCTAAGTTCACAACAACGATTACGACGTGCCAATAGATTAGTGTAATTAGTTAATCAAAAAGGAACAATTCCTTGGGAGCCATTTGATAAAAGATTCTGTTTTAGGTCACTATTTTATTCTCTCTAACAATGTAAATGAAATATCGATGTAAGACCTCCTTATTCTTTTCAATTCAGTCTGTCACGTTCTTGTTACCCTCCATACTTCCTGTTTTAACAGTTTCTCATCATTCTTTGGATAACTAGTGACTTATATTATTCTGGATGCTATACCTTATGGTCATATTGATATTATCATTAAAACCTTGTCGATTTTAATTAAAAAACTAAATTCCAATTTATACTATGATTTTAAAATTTGAAATCTGTCTTTTTGTAATCGACCAGGCTTTAATGCTAAAAAGGCTACTTTGGAGGATACTAATGAACAGTTCAAATAGATGTGCAGTTTCATTGCTAATGTTTTAGAAAACTTTTCGGAAAATGTATACTTTATGATAAATATTATAACACGTGGTCAAGCCATAAACAGCGAGCGCGATGATGTCCCCGGGGAGACCCGGGGGCGCGGGGCGTCGGACATAGCTGCGGCCGGCTGCCGGCCGCACACAGCGACACACTGATTTTTAACGCCGTAACAACCGCACGCGCATCTTTAGTTTATTTTCATAGCGTTCCGTATTATTAATGTCGGGCTAAAGCGTTGTAATATAAAGTTCTAGTAATAAACGCATTGGAGAATCTATAACAGTCCACTCTTTCACTCCCTGACGCCTCCAAATTGGTCCTTCGACCACTACTTGGACGACTGGAATTTTATTGCGACGCAAGCAGCATCTACGGCGCACTGGCTTCTTTCAACGGCGCATTGGCTTCATTCAACTGCGCACTGGCTTCTTTCAACTGCGCACTTCAACGTTGCTGTTTAGTCTTCCGACCAGAATTCTACGGGTCTTACAACGCACTAAGAGAAGAACAAGAAGAGGATTACTTATATGGATAGTGCATAAAGACCGTGAGATCGTTCCATTATCTTATCTTTACACATCCATCCTCATATCATCTTCACTTTAACTTCTCCATTATCATAATCATTCCATCATAATTACCATTCATATAATTATCATTTTCATTACAAACCATAAAAGGTTATTGCCATTTACTTCATTAGTTATTTGCAGTCATAGTATATATATGCGTGATTCCATAGTGTACTGCGTAGTACTGCATAATAATGCGTAGATAGTGATTGATTAGCAAATCTTATTATTATTTTAATCACACACAGTCATTTAACGAATTAATCACAATCAATATCATATTCATAACCATAATACGTGGCATTCTTTCATAAAATCATAACGTAATTAATAACATTATAACCTTAAAACAAATAATTGATCTTGCAACTTGTAAATAGTAGAAATGCAATTAATATCATTAGTCTGCGTTTAGTTGCTTCACTAATAACCAATAAGTATACAATATTTCTATTACTGTGTATTAATTTTTGTTTTTTTTCCTAGGTCGTTCGGTAGTTCGACTTTGTACTACTGTTTTTTAAAACTGCGAAGCGTGGTGCAGAAGCATTAAACAGATTAGTATCGTTTCTATTTGCTACTTTATAAAAATAGTAATTTAAAACTATCAGCTATAACAAAATAAAAATAATTATTCTTTTTTATTTCCTTTTATTTGCAATTCAACTTCATCATATAGTATTCATTCAACTCATCTTAATTAACGTTTACAATGTCAGAATCTAAATCAACACAACTAAATCAATTAATTAAAAGACGTGGAACATTTAAAAGTAAACTTACAAATTTTTGCAATTATATTAATATTTTAAAAGAAAGTTCCGCTGTTAGCAATGCAGCTATTCAGTTTGAACTGCAATCGCGTATTGATAAAATGGAATTACTATATTCTGACTTTGATAATCTTCAGGGTGAGATCGAGGAACTCGCTGACGATCCTGATCAGAGGTATCAGGAACGAGACGTGTTCGAGAACCAGTATTACTCGGCTGTCGCGACTGCTAAAACCCTGTGCCAGTCATCATCAACTTCGTCACATTCCTCAAATCACGAGGTAAGCTCTCATGATGCTTGTGCGCACAAACACAATAGTTTCGTACGTCTTCCCAAGATACAGCTACCTTTTTACAATGGCAGTTACCAGCATTGGCTTGAATTCCGCGATACCTACATTTCTATAGTTCATTCCAGCACGGTCATTGACGACATAAACAAATTTCATTATCTTCGTGCTTGTTTGCAAGGCAGTGCAGCCCTTGTCATCAAAAGCTTAGATTTTAAGGTTGAGAATTATGCTGCCGCATGGGAATTGTTGTGCAAGAGGTACGATAATAAACGCTTGCTTGTAAACAATCATGTTCACGCCCTTTTCAATGTAAATGCCATCAAAAAAGAGTCTAGTAAAGCCTTGCGTTACATAGTTGATGTCACAAATAAAAATCTTAAAGCTTTGGCTACGCTTGACCAGCCTACAGAAAGTTGGGATACTTTAATAATTTATATGATGTCAACTAAATTAGATATTATCACAAATAGGGAATGGGAGGAATACAGAAACAATCGCAACGATCCACCTACTTTAGATATTTTTTTAACCTTTTTAACTAACAGAGCAGATCTTTTGGAGACTTTGGAGGAGGCAAAAAATAACAGAGGTAATTCTGAATCTAATCATATTCACAAATCCAATAGCTTTATAATTTCTTCAGGTAAAAATAAATCATTTTCATGTCCATTATGCTTTCATGAGCACTATTTATTTAATTGTGATGCCTTCAGAAAGCTTCCTGTTGAGACGCGTATTGAAAAGGCTAAGACCTTCAAAATATGCTTAAATTGCCTTCGGCCTGGTCACCACGAATCACGCTGTAAATTATCACATTGCAAATATTGCAAATCCAAACACAACACGCTTCTTCATCTCGATATTCATAATAAGCCTGTCGCACATGACAGCGTTGTGTTATCTGCTGAACCATCTCAGTCTTTAATTAACACAAACCATGTTTTGCTATCCACAGCTATGGTCAAGGTGCTCGACGGCCATGGAAAATCACATGCCGCTAGAGTCTTATTAGACAATGGAAGCACAGGAAACTTTGTCACAAAGGAATTTTGTGCCAAACTCAATCTTCTTACCAACGCTACGAATTCAAGAGTAACAGGCATCAATCAACAGGTATCCACGAGTTCATTGTCATGCTCTCTTACATTGGAGTCTTATTGTGGTGTCTACAGGACGGATATCAATTGTTTCGTTTTACCTAACATCACTGCCTTACTTCCAAATACATATATAGATGTGCATAACTTAGAAATACCGCCTGGGGTTTGCTTAGCCGATCCAAATTTCAACGTGCCGTCATCCATTGATATCCTTGTAGGTGCGGACGTCTTCTGGAATGTGATCGGTACAAATCGTATCCAACTAGGCAAGCACAAGCCAACTCTTTTTGAAACCAAACTCGGTTGGTTGGTTTCTGGTAGCATTTTTCAACCTAGTCCCAAACAACATATATGTATGTTTTCAAACGACCATACCGACTTAACCCGATTTTGGGAACTAGATACAATTACATCAAATTATGAGTTCACTCCAGAAGAACAGGCATGTGAACGTGATTTTATAAATTCTACACAGCGTAACATAGATGGACGGTTTGTAGTTTATATGCCGCTCAGGGAGCCTCCTGACGTTTTAGGCAATTCATATAATGCTGCAAAAAATAGATTTCTTTCCCTTGAGCGTCGCTTAGAAAGAGACGTACATTTGAAACGTCTATATATAGAATTTATAAATGAATATGCCAATCTGGGACATTTGAATGAAGATACATGTAGTAGTAATAAAAACACAATTCAATGCTACTTGCCACATCATGGCGTCCTTAAAACTAGTACAACCACACAACTACGTGTTGTATTCGATGGTTCTGCCCCTACGTCCTCAGGCAAGTCTCTTAATGACATACAACGCGTAGGTCCTACTGTGCAGGACGATTTATTAGCTATATTATTACGCTTTCGACAACATAAATTTGTTGTGTCAGCCGATATTGAAAAAATGTATCGGCAGATATTATTACATGAATCACAACGTCCATTACAAAAAATATTATGGAGGTTCGATCCCTCCCACCCAATTAAATCATATACCCTAAATACACTTACTTACGGCACGGCATCAGCGCCGTTTCTAGCCACTAGATGTCTCACACAATTAGGTCATGAGTCCAGTGATTCTCAAGTAAAACGCGCTATTTGTCATGATTTTTATGTTGACGATTTTTTGTCTGGTCATGATACAATTGAAGGCTGTATATCATTATGTCAAGGTGTTATTGATACACTTAATTCAGCCAAATTTAATTTAAGAAAGTGGCATTCAAATAATTTGTTTATTTTAAATAGTATAAACCAAAATAATGAGATATCTAGTAGCGTAGATCTTAGTGCAAAAGAATGTGCAAAAACGTTAGGTATTTATTGGAAGTGTTCAACTGATTATTTATCATTTTCTATTAATATTATACCGCAAGATAAAGTAACAAAGAGATTTATTTTGTCTACAATTTCGCAAGTGTTTGATCCTCTAGGTTTAGTATCACCATGCATTGTTGAAGCAAAAATATTAATGCAAAAATTGTGGATACATAAATGCTCTTGGGATGAAAGGGTCCCAAAAGACATAGAAATTATTTGGTCAGAGTTTATACAGTTTCTACCACAGTTAAATAAACTTGAAATTCCTAGGTGCATTAAAAACGACAAAACAAATAAAACAGAAATACATATATTTACAGATGCTTCGGAGAAGGCATATGGTACATGCATATACGTAAGAAGTATAGCTAGCGATGAATCAATTGATGTCCGTCTTTTGGCTTCCAAAAATAAGATAGCTCCAATTAAAACCACCACCATTCCACGACTTGAACTATGTGGCGCGCTCTTAGGAGCACGACTATTCATGAAGGTAATGACGTCGGTTACTCTTGAATTTAGTCGTAGTGTATTTTGGACTGATTCTACCATCGTCTTAGGCTGGCTCTCTTCTCCACCAAACCATCTTAAACCATTCGTACGTCACCGAGTTTTAGAAATACAAGAAAATTGTCATTATTGGCGGTATGTACCTACTAAATCAAACCCGGCAGATTTAGTGTCTCGAGGTGTTAGAGCAGATTTATTAGGTAATTCTTCGTTGTGGTGGACAGGCCCTGCCTTTTTAAAATTAGATTCCTCTCAATGGCCAACTAATCCAAATAAATACACTTCCAATTTACCAGAAACAATTCAAACATTCCATATTAATAACAAGCTATCAATAAATAATAATAACACCAATTTAATTTCATCACTAATAAATAAATTTTCATCGCTTACAAAATTACAACGTGTACTTGCATTTGTCTTAAGGTTCATTAATAACTGCCATAAAAATGCAAGTAAATTACACAATAACTTGTCATTATTAGAATTAAATAATGCCACAAATGTTCTATTACGTACAGCTCAGCAGGATTCATTCCCTGAGGAACGTGAGTTACTATTACTCAATAAGCATTTACCCCATAAAAATAGACTTCTGTCATTGACACCGTTTGTTGGTTCTGACTACCTCATCCGCGTGGGTGGCAGGCTTAGTGATTCTCACTACGACTACAACGTCAAACATCCTATCCTTCTATCAGGTAAACATCGCTTATGTGAATTAATATTCGAAATGCTTCATAAAAAACACATGCACTCTGGTCCACAATTACTACTAGCCACCGCCAGACATAATTATTGGCCAATAGGCGGCACTATTTTAGCGAAACGTATAGTTCGTTCATGTGTTAGGTGCAGTAGATTCAAGGGGAAGACTGTCCAGCCCTTGATGGGTAACCTACCAGAAAAACGAGTCCATTTAGAATTTCCCTTCTTAGAAACAGGTGTCGATTATGCTGGACCAATGCTGATAGCTGACCGCAAAGGTAGAGGCTGTAAACTTATAAAATCATATATTTGTGTGTTTGTGTGTCTAGCCACAAAGGCCGTGCATCTGGAGCTTGTCTCTGATTTAACCAAAGAAGCTTTTATTGCAGCACTACACAGGTTTATAGCACGTCGAGGTAAGCCGCAGACGCTGTTCTCGGACAACGGCACGACCTTTGTTGGAACTTTCCATGAGCTCTCCAAACTTCTCACACAATCATCCTTGACTTCGGGTTTAGCTGAAATAGGTATCAACTTTTCATTCATACCTGCCTACACTCCTCACTTCGGTGGTTTATCACTCGTGCGATCCGTAAAACATCATCTTAGGCGCGTTTTGGACATGACTCACTTAAACTATGAAGAAATGGCTACTCTTCTTATTCAAATAGAAGCCATCCTAAATTCTCGCCCCCTCACACCTCTATCTGATAATCCATCCGACTTATATCCCCTTACTCCTGCTCACTTCCTTGTTGGACGATCTCTGATCTGTTTGCCACATCCTGATATCGTCAATCGCCGAGCTAGCTCTCTTCAGCGTTTCCAACGCATCGAGCTACTCAAGCAACACTTCTGGAGTCGATTTTCTAATGAGTATGTTGTATGGCTCCAACAGAAAACCAAATGGCACCGGTCCTATGGCGAGCTGAAAGAGGGAATGTTCGTCGTTATCAAGGAGAAGACGTCTGCCCCCTTGATGTGGCTTCTGGGACGCGTTGTACGTGTCCTGCCTGGAAGAGACGGCGTAGCAAGGGTTGCAGACATCCAAACGAAGAGGGGTGTCATTCGCCGGGCATACAATACCATATGCCCCCTGCCTGTCAAGAGCTTTGAACTTGGCACTTCAACGCGGGGAGTCTATGGTCAAGCCATAAACAGCGAGCGCGATGATGTCCCCGGGGAGACCCGGGGGCGCGGGGCGTCGGACAATATAGCTGCGGCCGGCTGCCGGCCGCACACAGCGACACACTGATTTTTAACGCCGTAACAACCGCACGCGCATCTTTAGTTTATTTTCATAGCGTTCCGTATTATTAATGTCGGGCTAAAGCGTTGTAATATAAAGTTCTAGTAATAAACGCATTGGAGAATCTATAACAGTCCACTCTTTCACTCCCTGACGCCTCCACACGTATGAATGGAAATGTGTGTGAGTAAAAAAAATGATTTAAAGGTGAAAGATTACTGATACGAGAAGTATAATTACAATTACATAAGTACAATTTATTGTTGTACTTCCTGCCATTATATTGTTTTATATTTATTTAATGTAAAATAAATATTTTATTTTATATCAAATACGAACATTTTTTAATAACCTACTTCACAATAATTATATTAACCCTGGATAATTCACACTGCGATATCTATTCCGAAGGTAAGGAAAGCTTATTTTATGGATTAACAACTAATACAAATACTTAAATATATTTTTTATTAATTACATACATAATATACATACAATATACTCAGACTAATACAAACAATAATATTCTTTCTTATAAAAGTAAAACAACTTCACTAAACAACTTTTACAAAAGTTTGTTCTGTACGAGGAATCAAGCCCGGTGACCATTGGTAGTAGGTCGGTGTGTTTAAGTACTGGACCACCGATGTGAAGTCTCAGTCCGTCAGTGGTACTAGGGGGGTTACATAATAAAGTGCTACATATATTGTTCATCAATATATATTCTATATAGGCAACAGTCAAGTCAACTTGTATGCCAATGCCGATGTATAAAAAAAAAGAAACCAGCCGAATTTTGAATTCTATTTTGAATATAGGTTATACCTTTTCAATTTTAAAATTGAAATTTGTTTAGGCATTTTCTCATTTCGGAAACAAACAGATAATTCTTAAAATGGCCGGCTCGATTCAATTATATCCATTGCTTGCTTACCTTCTTTATATAATATTCACAAAAGAATATTCGATAAACAACCTCTTGAACTTTCACGATATCAATATCATATTAATAATGAAGACTCATTAAAATTGTGTGAAATTTGGTTGGACTGTAACAGAACAATAAGCACAGTAAGCGCTATTATCTATATTTACTAATAATGATACTTAGATATTGCTGAGCTATCTTGTATTAGAATATTCTGCATTATATATAAGAATATAACATATAAACTATGTATATTTTACTGCCTACGCTATAATCTCCGTAAGTCGATTGATAATTCAGAATTAGACAGAATTAATATAATATGCAAGTTAGTAGTTCAATCGTATTGAAACTACAATCGTACTAGAATTACATCCATTTCAATTAAATGTGTATGGAAATTATAGTTGAAATGTATCATTATTACAATTTATATATATTATATTTAAACATTTAAAATATATCTCTATAAAATATAGTAACGGTATAGTTTCTTTGGATTTTTGAAAATTTAATTGGAATGGCAAACAAGCAGAAGGCTCACCGAATGGCCAGTAGTAACCAACGCTATTTGACAGTGATCATTTGACAGCCTCGGTAGTCTAGCAGTTTAGAACTGTTTTATTTCCGATGGTCGCGGGTTACATTCCTCGCAAGATGCAAATATTTGTATTCATGAGTATGTAACATAACACAAATAAGTAAGTATATAACATAAGCTCTGCTTTTCGTAGGCCACGCCGTTACCGGTATATGGCGCCGGGTTAATTGTCCAAGGTTATTTATTTATTTATCGCCTATTTATATGAACGTCACGGACATCGTTCTCACGTGATACCCGTGATACCACTCATATGATGATATTACAGAGGACTAAGATGTCATGCGTCTTATCCTATAATTTCACTGCCTAATCACAACCTATAACCTTAAAAAAGCTACTCGAGGGATCATGTAGGTATGACTGATGTAATCATGCAGATGAATTTTTATAGTCTATATCTGGTAAATGTGTAGATTTAACGGAAAAATTGATCCACTGAGTAGATAGAAATATAACAATAATTCTGTGACAGAATTTAATGATATCCGTGATACGTTTTATTTTCATTTTGTTCTTATAATATGGGTTAAAAGTTGCGACAAACACATTATCTGTTTTCTGTATTTACCAGGCGTTTGCATTGAGAAACTCAAATGGCAGTACGCAGAGCCTTAATGAAAAAACTTTTGTATATTTCAATTAGGGCCCCTTCAAAGGCTGTAATTTTCCGACGTTAACGAGCTAAATTTTATCGAAAATTAATTGCGACATCTTCATTGAAAACTTTTCACTCAACTTTGATACCTACCTAAATTTTCTTTAACAGAACTTTGACAATGCAATGTGTCTGCCGTGAGAGAATGAGACAAGAAACAGAGCGGCCACTGTCTAAAATAAGCTTCATCTTCCCTTTTATTCTGCCCAAAATAATTATTTAATGTATAAATAAAGGATAAAAATAAATGTTTCCAGGTGAATTGCATTGTGGGTTCTACGCAGAAAAATAAATACGCTCTTAAAACACCCGTGAGATTCTGGAGCATAATTAGAAGTTGACTTCGGACAATGAGTGTTGTATATATGTATAAAAAGTGCGTTTAGTTTATATGCAGTCTCGAAATTTAGTACGTATATTTTGGTGATTTGAGTATTATTAAATTTTGGTATTATCTGCGTCTAAACGTGTAATCGTATTAGGTGGTTATGTCAGGTGGCTTCACTATCCGTTTATTCATTTATAAGGAATGTATACACGTCGCTAATTCAAAAATTAATACATAAATGTGCAAGTTGAAATGTAAACTAAAATTCATGTTTCACCTAATTTTAATATACTGTCATCGTGTAGGTAAACGATTTACCTGCGATACGAAATCAGGGGCAATATCAGAGCATTACAGTGAAGAATCTTGGATAGCTTCCTAGAAAGCCTCATGTACAGCGAAACCGGGACTGATTTCTTATAGTGTATCCACCTAGTCGATTTTACCTCCAATGCAGCGTATATTGCCTCTGATAGTACCGTGTGTAGGCTGTTTTTATTCTTTTCAAAGGTAGGAATAAGTTAAATATAAAGGAAATTGACTGTCTGATTTGAAAGAACTGTCCGTTCTAAATATTATTTATAGTCTTAATAGCCGTGCTAGCAGTTTCACCCACGTGAAATATAAAGCCTTTAGTTTATTCTGATGTATAAGCTATATTACTGTAAGGTTTCATCAAAATTAGCTCAGTAATTTTTGTTTGAAAGAGTAACAAACATCCATCCATACTCACAAACTTTCGAGTTTATAATATTAATAATATTGGTTTGTAAATATTTTTACAGTGTCAGTCAGTCATTGTTGAGGTAGTTATTATATTTATATATAAAACATTTTTCTCTGCACCTGTTCCCGCTATTATTCTTTGTTGAGATTCATTTAGCTAGTCAGGTTATCATTATAGTTGTATACTGGTAAATCTGGAAACGACTCTACGAGAATATAAATAAGGCGTAGTTTCGTGCTTATCATGTAGGTGTATATGTTATAAATTTTAGTATCTCCATTCATCCATAATGTAATCCGCACTTACTCTTTTTAATATAAGAAGAGTAAGTGCGGATTTCATTATGAGGAAAGAAGACTCTGTAACTGCTTCATAGATTTTAGATATTCTTTGATTCTTTGAAAGGTTTAGAAAAGTTTGGAGTACCCATGGAATTTGACGAAGCTGGGGCTGGTTACTAGTCTATTAATGTATTGAAAATATGACACTAAACTATTATGAGTAAGTAGCTAGCAGTGGACAAGTTTTTTCTACAATGTCATGGTAGAGTATACCATTATTAAATTATACCCAAGATATTACTGAGTGAATACGAACTACTGCCAAATTGTCATCATGTAAGAAAGTACTTCATAATAAAATTATGTATTTGTTTAAATAACTACGTCGACTAAATTAAACATGGTACAAAAGGCGGGCTTAATGCTAGAATTATTCTCTATCTCTCGACCTATGAAATGAACAGATTCAAGAATTACTTAATTAAATAAGTGTAGACAATATATAAGTTATAAAAAAACACAACTAATCACAAAAAAGCTATAAAAACTTATATACAATTAATTATAATACATATTAATCTAGCCTTTGATTACCAGTTGATGGTTACGTAGATGGAATTACGAAAACGATATTAAGAAAGTTCCATGACTCGTTTTGAGCCAACTTTAATTACAACAAATCGATTAAGTTAGAGATTTGTGTAACGCTATTTGCTCTCGTCGTGAGCAAAGGACAATGTAATTAAGTTTCGCGATACTTATGAAGTGAATGCGGAATGTTGGATTTCGTATTCTGAATTGTATTAATAATAACGCGTTTGCGGTTAGGGAGATATTAATAACAGATGATATTGGAGATAATATACAGAATAATCTATCGCATATCAAGTTACTCATTAGTAGTCACATTCGAGAATACATTCATTATATTTTCAGTTTATACAACACAACTTTCAATATATCTAATAAAAGACAATATTCCAAATGGAAACAATAAAACGAAATTATTTATTTCTAAGAAACGATAGACTTGGATTCAAGTTTCACTTTGAAGATGAAACTGTAATACAAATTCTAATTTATAAAGTAGCAATAAAAAATTGGTAAATAGAATGTATTATAATTATAAGAGTACGTCTATTATTTTATTCATTCAAACATTAATAAAACTAAAATACAATTTCAAGTTTGTTGAATCATTTTATGGGAAATTTATTGTTAAAAAAATTATTAATAAATTTCCGTATGTGGGTACATACCGAAATTTATTAATAACATTTTTTCGGATAATTTTCTCAGCTTTCATTAGCCTATATGTTGATTTAATTAATTCAAATTTTAATATTGAAACATTTCATCTTAATTCTTCCAGCCACTTTTACTCAAAAACACAAAAACTGTTGAACTAACAGCTTTCGTCTCAATATAATTTTATGATAAACTTATATAATTTAACATTTTAGCCACAGTATTAAACTATCGCATTGTACCTTATAAAATGTAAGAGGTTATTTTATCGGAATATAACATCTTAAATTGTAATGTTTTATGTGTAGGTATCTGGAAATAGGTAAGTACTGATCGCTTTCAGAGAGTCAACTTTATGGCATCGGCCAGTCTCTTTACAGTATCATCAACATTAGTACGGTTACTGCGGCCTTTTATTGGCGGACTGTCAATGGTCAGTTCTATAAAATGTACAGTATTTTATTAATATTAAATCTATTGAAGCGTAATTTTGGATAAACTAAATCCCTTAAATTCAAATCATCGTTAGGGATTACAAGTTTAAATCGCTTCAATGTGTATGGGCATGAAAGAACTTGTGCGTCGGCGGGCTGACGGCTGTGTGAGTAAATCACCATTAGTCTCTACATCATTTACAAACCCAAAAATCTTACTCTCTCGCTTACTCTTGCGGGTATGCTGTAAGGGATGTGCGCGCATGTGTGCGATGGCGTATAAGTACAGGTCCGCGAGCCATTTGTGTATGTGTAGGTGAACGATCCAGGCCCGCGTAGCCCCCGCCAGTGTTGAAACGGTCGTAGCATCAGCACCATGTCTACGGCGTAGCGACGTCTTATAGGACAATAGCGACGCGCCGGAAAATTGTGACGTTTTGTTATTTTTTGTTTGATGTGAATAAAAGCGACTCTTTGTGACACTCACTGATAAAGAACACGGTACAATGAGGACGCTTATTGTAAAAGAACTTGGCTGTATTTGGAACATTGAGTAAGAATTTGGACAATTTAGTGTACTGAGGATGTAAACGAACAAGGAAACGTTGCGTTGTAAACCTCAATTATTTTGGATTATTTTGTCAATGTGACATTAGTGTCTGTGAATATAGAATAGTATAATACAAACTTTCTTTTGCGAGGCAATATTCCCATGGAGTACCCTAAATCGATCATTGTTGAGTTGCTGAATTGAGGTAAAGAATTTATAAAATTTAATACTTAAGAAAATATAGGTATCTTTAAGTATTTAAAATTAAATACATATATAACAAATATCATCATTATATTTTCTATTAATATTTTATTCTGAATTAAGGTCGATGTTGAGCTTGTTTTGTTTAATATTTAGTTTGACAGATTGGTAGAATATGTATTTTTAAGCGAATTCTGTAGGTAATTGTAAATTCATTAATAGATTTTTTAAATTTAATAAATGTATTTTTGTTTTTATTTTATTATATTTATCTTTATATATATAGCAATATATTACACATAGCATACATTTTAGCTCTATTGAGATTTGTGCAATTTAATTGCAAATAAAAATATGTGTATGGCTTTTTTTTATTTTATTTAGCCTTTCATCTTCCTTAAAAAGAGCATTGTTAAAATATATGTAGAGAGAATTTTTATATTTTAAGTAAGAAAATTGTTAATATTGTGTAATTTTTCGTAAATTTAATCATTTTGTATGTTTAATCATAAAGTACAGAAATATTGAAATTAACGACAAATGAAGATATGACCTAGCATTAGTAGCAAACTTTCCAAACATCAGAGAATGGAAAATGAATGAATGTAATTATAAATATTTAAGAACTCAATTTTAATCCATTATTTAGTATTCTAATCTGCAAGGTCAATTTTACGTCCATAATTTCTATAAATTCCATCTATACCCATTATATATAAACTTTTTCATTGTGAATAATATGGTTGGGGAGGGGGGGAGGCGAGCTTTGGAGTGAACTATGGAGAGGGCTGCCTTAAACCAATTTCATCCGCAAATGGCCAAAGTGATCCAGAGTGTAATGAGAGACCATAGAACTGGTAAGATGAGGTAGAGATATAGCCGTCTCACCTTGTGAGTTCTTCCACAGCCTATATGTATGGTGATGCATAAGTTACGCCATATACAGATGCAAGTATACCTATTGTATAGAGTACATACAAACGAAACTGCATTTGTATGTGCAGTATGAGATCAATACAAATACAAAATTGAAGAGCAACACAAACATAACAAAATTAATAATGATAACTGCTGTACCAAAAGATAATGCTGTTAAGATGGTTGGGATGTATTTATTATTTTGTTATACTATTATTTTGTTAGCACCATTACAGCGAATCAAAACGTTTTTACAATAAATATATTATACAGTTCAGTAGCATTATTAAATATGACTCAAAAAATATTAATAAGATCCTAATCCAATTTATATAGGAATATATATAGAACCACCATCTTTCAAATAAACTAAAATATGAATTGAATTGAGAATCTTCTTATTTTGAAGTCAATTGATTAATATACGGTGTATGTGTGCAAAAATACACAGTGTCATTGTTTCCTCCAATTTCATACAATTAATATTAATATGTGTTTGAAATAATAACTCTTGAAACTCTTACATAATAGACAGATAGTTCCTTAGAAATGGACGCACAAGAAATTATTGAATTATAATATTATAGATAGTGGGTGTTCGATTCACAGGTTGATTGAAAATCCTTTTGTTCTCCTCATTTCAGAAATTCATAACTGATCGACAAGTTTGATAGCAAAACTTGGGCATTAGATACAATGGACCCAAAACCTTAAAGTGTACTGTACACTTGCAACAATTGAGCCGTTGTTGCGTTGTTTGCAGAAGCAGCGATACTGCGATACCGCGATTGACTGGCTCCATTGTTTGGAACACCGTATAACTCTATTGTGGATGGAAAATGTCATGGCACTATTGCGGATCGTATACGTGTTACGTGCCAGTTGTTACGTTGTTACTGATAGCTCAGAGTTATGTACACATAAAGCTATATTTATAAAAAAATTTATGTGCAGCTTACAAAAACTTAAAAAACTTGTCTAATAAATTTTATAACTTAGTAACATTTGACGGCCTCGGTGGTCTAGCGGTTTAGCGCACCGCTTTACTTCCGATGGTCGCGTGTTCAATTCCTCGCACGGTACATACAGGAGTATGAATGTTTGTATCTGTCTGGGTGTTTTCTATGTATATTAAGTATGTATTTACAAAAAATATCTATATCCCATAACAGCAAGCTCTTCTTACTGACTACGTGGCGCAATATCAATTGTCCAGAGTTATTTATTTCTAAAATACGACATTGCATTGCAATATCCTTCGCGTATAGATTTGAAGATACTGCCTATAGACGATAATGAAATTGATTAATTATTAATTATTTTTATTACAAGATATGTTTCATTTAATAAATATTAAATAATTACTAAATTATACCTTTGCTTGTTATTTCTATAAGATATCTATAGCCTATATATTGATTTAATTGAATTGTTAAAAGATAACAAACAGACGAACACATTTTCATACTTATAATACTACATTATTCACGCGACGTCATCCTTTTTTTATATATAAAATATGTATGTAATTTATTTTCATTCTCTTGTTATATTCTGTCTTTTGGGATCCATTTGGCAGTTTATTTGTAAAATAAAAAAAGGATAGACTAATAGACACACTTTTGCATTTGTAATATTAATATGGAAGGATATATTTTTATATATTTTAATTGTACTGGCTAGTTGTAGTCAGCTAAGCAATGAATGAATTACATAGTAAACAAAAGTAGAGAGAACTTGTTTTCTATAAATTACAAAGGTAGTATTTTTTATTGTTCTTCATTAAAATATATGCTTTATCAGAGAAGATAGAAGGTATATTTTTTGTTAACCTTTTTCAATAAGTCAATATTCCAATTATATTTTATTACGTTGCTCTGTATATTTGCTGCAACTGAAACGTCCGGATCCGAAGTGGCCCATTTCACCCTGCACCGGAAGCTTCACTGTCCCCGTTAAATCAATGGACTTTTAGCTATATTTATAAAAACAGTTTTTTATAGCAAAAATAAATAAAGCTAAATCCTCGTGAATGCACTTTTATAAAACTGAAATATTATTGAAAAATAAAACAATATTTTTTATATCAAGGAAAAAATTGACCTATCAATTATACAACACTTTGTTGGTAGAGTTGTTAGACAAAGATTTAACAACTCGTAACCGCTGTTAGTGTAGTGCTACTAAATATATTTAAAATAAATTACTAACCAGTGGGCCATTGATACCATAATTTACATTTATTATTATTTATTTATTTATTTATTCTTTTGCACACAAAATTGTATACATGGCGGACTTAATGCCTGATTATATATATGGACTGCTTTGACAATCATAATATTTATAGTATTTATAAGTAATGTTGACGTATTTCGACTTTAAAATATCTCAAGTATTCACAGTTATTCAAAATTTTACCCCTAGACACTCGCCATTTCAACTTTTGAGGTATTCGCAATAAACATTAATGTAGCTTTTGTTACCGTCTATCAAATTGCAGGTGAAAATGTTAGAAACGGCTTCCATGACATTTTCATGAGCTTGTACTTTTAGAATTGACAAGTGGAAGAGTAGTACTTACGTCTTAGAACTTTAGAGTGAAATTTGAGTGTCGATTTGTTTATGAGAATCTCCGGAACCAATGTCGTGGTCAGGTAGTACGCTTAACGCTTGAGAGAGTGCTATCATTGTCGACAGAAAATGTTAGCTCGTACTGCCACCGGCCGCTTAGAAAATTGAATTGAATCTCAAGAACTTTGCTTTCGGAATGTCGCTGAACATATTTTTGCACGGAAACTGAATTCACGTTTCTGGATAGTTTTTATTTGAAATACAAATATTTTTCAAACAACGACGACAAAGAACTGTGGTTCTCAATTGATCTGTATTTTATAAATATTATGCAGTATTTTCATAAAATCTGACGTTATTTTAAGAAATTATGTGGCAATCGCTTGTGTTTCCTCTTCTATGTATACTTTATTAATCACAAATTAAATAAAAATATTGATTTTATGAATTATTTTGTTTTGTCTATTTTATATTTTGTATTTTTAAATTTCCATTTATGTATATTACATTTTTGTTCTTATGACAATATAACATTTTTTATGTAGCATGTTTTTTATGTATCACTATAAAAGTATAAATACTACAGCGGGTTGTAATGACCCTCAGGAATGAGGAAACGACTTGAGGAGACGGAAAAATTTTTATTATAACACTAATGAAACTAACTTTTATAGTTCGTTTCTTCATTAAGAATTTTTCGATAAAAAGGTGGCTTTAATTTGCCTTATTTAACTTTTATATAATTATATAGCAAAATGGCATTTCCGCTGTTCTATGCTTAATATATTTATATACTCGAGAGAAATACTTACTCTGTAAGAATCTATGTAAATCCAGGCGCGATTTAGTGTATTTGATTCATGATATTATAATAAAAAAATTGAAATTGAACATCATGATTGAACATCAATTCGACTTTTAAAAATTAATTATAATATCGGTCAGAAACATGTATGCAATTTAATTCAATTAACCTATAAAATTGGCCAGTTGAGTTTTAAAACAAGGTAGGTCATTGGTATATACAAGTGGAATACATGCTGTTTGATGGATACAATATCTGAATCTGTAATTGATTTATATATTAAAATAATAATAGATCTGATATTGTATGATGATTTTATATTTTAAAAATGGAACAAATTGGTATTCGATTTTTAAAACAATAAAATATCTATATCGTTCAGAAACCTACATGAAACTATTTATGAAAATTAATTCAATTAACCAATAAAACTGGCCAGTTGGCTTAAAGAATATATTGAAAAAGGTCGGTTATTGTGTTAATAAAATTACGCACATAGGAAAACGAGCACAGTTATTAATAAAGATATGATTTCCCTCTGTTATGGGCGCGAATACCCATCCGTTACGCAATTAAATCTCGAAACGGCCTGATGTCCATTGAGATTTGCATACAGATATGTGATTATAGCAAAAATGGCGTTATGTTATGGCTATGAGATGTGTGAGAAAAATATTACAACATAATGTCCATATACGGCTGTA